GAAATAGATATATTATGATATTTAGAAGTGTATAAACTTTTTTTTTTCTCTTTCGTTTTCTAAAGGAGCGTCAATGGAGGGGGCTTCTACCCGACGAAATTCTTTGCAGCTTTTTCCAACACAGAATACGACAATGCGACCTTCCCCGAGCGTAAGTGACGACTGTAATATCAACAAATGTCTCCAATGGGTATAATTATAGTACAAAAATCTCATGAAATGTAAATCTGGGACATTTGATAAGATTATATCCATTCTTCAGAATAACCCCATTTAATGAAAAAATAGGAAAAAAATGAATAAATAAATAGATAAATAAAGAATTAAAAAAAAAAGAATTACAATACCCACAAAACAAAACAGTACAGAACCCCAATACCCTACACACCATACCCATGCTAAAATACCCGCCTCCGCTCCTCCGAACAGACATCCACTACGGCGCGAACATCACCATCCAAAGCAGCCGACCCATCTGCGGGTATCTGGAGTCGTGGTTTGACCTCTTCCCCTCAGACTACACGGCGCCTTGCCAACAGGTCACGACGTCGACGATCAGGGACGACGAGGGACTGATGTGGTGGGTCATTTTTAGGGGAACTTGTGGTGCTGGCCTGATTTCTCTCTCGATCACTCTCTCTCCCACTCAATTCTGCTCTCTTAATCTCCACCTCCCCCTCCCCCTCCCCCTCCAGGACAATCAAGAAAGTGGACCTCGAAGCCGGGGCGGTGATCGACGGCGGGGACCCTAAGGAGGCGCCGATGATCGTGAAGAACGGCGACTTCGTAATGCTGACTCACGCCGAGACGGGCCGTTCTCTGCGCTCCCACGGCCACCGCGCGCCCATCACCAAGAGGCACTTCCAAGTCTGCGGATACGGCGACGTAAGGAGGGACGCCTTTGTAGAGCTCCTGTAGGGATGTCGGATCTGGGGCTGTGGTTTGTGGGGCTCCTGTAGGGCTAGTGTAGTTTGGGGCTGTGGTTTGTAGGGCTCCTGCAGGGCTAGTGTAGGTTGGGGCTGTGGTTTGTAGGGCTCCTGTAGGACTAGTGTAATTTGGAGCTGCGGTTTGTAGAGCTCCTGTAGCGCTAGTGTAGTTTGGGGCTGCGGTTTGTGGGGCTCCTGTAGGGCTAGTGTAATTTGGGGCTGTGGTTTGTGGGGCTCCTGTAGGACTAGTGTATCTGGGGCTGCGGTGATGTAAGGAAGGACACTTTGGAGGGACATCTTAGGGCTAGCATAATCTGGGACTACGAAGGCGAAAGGAGGGACATCTTTTGTAGAGCTCCTGTAGGAGTATTGTAGTCTGGAACTCTAGTGACGCAAGGAGAGACACCTCTTGTAGAGCTGTTGTAGGCTCTCATAGTCTGCGGATCCGGCGATGTAGGATGAGGCTGTGTGGTTGATAAAACCTTCCAAAAGCACTAATCCCTCAGAGAGAGAAAGAAAGGACGACTTCATCTTCTTCTCTTTTTCTACACATAATACCCATCATTTTCTTCTCTCGTTTTTGTACATTCTAAAACATAAATTCATCCTCTTCCTTTGCTTTGGATCCTAAAACATCCTTTCTCTTCATTTCCTTTTTTTCACATCTAAATCATTTTTTCTACATTTTTTTTTCCCATTCTACACACTCTTTTAACATCGTCTCTCCTTCTCCTCCTCCTTTACGCGCATTCTAAACATCATTTCCTCCTCTTTTCAAACATCTTAAAAATCTTCATCGTCTCCTCCTCCTCCCCCTTTCTATACATCCTAACCATCATTTCCTCCGTTCCCTTTCCTTTCGACACATCCTAAAAAAAAGAAAAAAAAAAAATCCTCCTCCGCTTTCCTATACACCCTTATACGCCTTCTTTTTTAATACACCCTAAAAAAAAATCTCTCTTCCTCTTCCTCATCCTATAAACCCTAACCGCAATTTATTCTCCTTCTTCTCCTTTCGACCCATCTTCCAGTATCTTCATTCTCTCCTCCTCCTCCTTCCCCTTCCTATGCACCCTAGCCATCATTTTCCCTTACTCCTTCCCTTTCGACCCATCATACAATATCTACATCTTCTTCTCCTCCTCCTCCTCCTCCTCCTTCTTCTACTTTCGACCCATCCTAAAATACCAACATCTCTTCCTCTTCTTCCTTCTCCTTTCGGCCCATCCTAAAATATCTACATCTTCTCCTCCTCCTTCTGCTTTCATTTCATATCTACATCTCCTCCTCCTCCTCCTTCTGCTTTCACCCTAAAATATCTACATCTCCACCTCCTCCTCCTTCTGCTTTCATTTCATATCTACATCTCCTCCTCCTCCTCCTTCTGCTTTCACCCTAAAACATCTACATCTCCACCTCCTCTTCCTTCTGCTTTCACCCTAAAACATCTACATCTCCACCTCCTCTTCCTTCTGCTTTCACCCTAAAACATCTACATCTCCTCCTCCTCCTCCTTCTGCTTTCATTTCATATCTACATCTCCACCTCCTCCTCCTTCTGCTTTCATTTCATATCTCCTCCTCCTCTTCCTTCTGCTTTCATCCTAAAACATCAACATCTCCTCCTCTTCTTCCTTCTCGCCAGGACGGAGCCGGCGGTCCCTTCGAAACGTGGGAACTGGTGATCCCGGGCGAAGCAAAGGGGGCGAACCTCACCATCATCAACCAGGACTTCATGCTCAGGCACTGGAAGATGAACTGCTACCTCAAAGCCAACGAGATGGTGAAGCTGCCCAAGGAATGGTGGGTATATTGGGTATATATGTGGGTATATCGGTATGTGTTTGTGTGTGTGGGGTGTGTGTAAGTGGGAGGGAGAGGGGGTGGAAGGGTGGAGGATGGAGAAATGAGAGGGAGGGAGGGAGGGTGTGTGTGTGTGTGTGTGGTTGTGTGTGTGTGTGTGTGTGTGTGTGTGTGTGTGTGTGTGTGTGTGTGTGTGTGTGTGTGTGTGTGTGTGTGTGTGTGTGATTGTGTGTGTGGGGCGTGTGCAAGTGGGAGGGAGAGGGAGTGCAAGGGTGGAGGAGGGAGGGAGGGAGTGTGTGTGTGTGTGTGTGTGTGTGTGTGTGTGTGTGTGTGTGTGTGTGTGTGTGTGGTTGTGTGTGTGTGAGTGTGGTTTTGTGTGCGTGTGTGTCAGTGGGAAGGTGAGGGGGAAGAGAGGGAACGAGGGAGTATGTGTGCATTTGCGTGTGCGTGTGTGAGTTTATGTGTCTGTATCTCTGTCTTTGTCTATGGCTGTGTTTCTTCAGTACCCTGAGAGTGATCGAGTTCGCTTCTTTCCCCCCAGGGCCTTCTCGGGCGCCAAGGAAGTGACGTGCTCCAGGAACCCGACCCAGCCTGGCACACTCTGGCACATCAACTGGAACAACAGCCCAAAACGTAAGCGGTTTTTTTTTATAGAAATATTGTTTGTTAAAGCAATCTTAAGGCTGTAGAATGTCTAAGAAAAAAAAGTCGAGAATTTACACAAATCAGTAGAACAGAACAAAACACAACTACAATAATAATCACGTGAAGTCACATCAACGAGAGAAAAACAATGTCCATAATATCAATTACACGAAATAAACGAAAGCTAAATAAACCTCAACCACAACATCAACAACCTCAACAACACCAATAACCACAACCACACCTACAACATAACCAAACACAACAAAAAAACAGAACCAGCTAAACCACAACCTCCCTTTCCCGGTTCTCAGTCGTCAAGACCGTCCACGCTCGAGACCGGTCGGCGAGCCTCTGGGAGAAGATTTACCAGCAGCACCTTAATATGTTCATCGGGAATGCTGTCCTCACGCCCCCGGACGATATGGAGAGGCAGTCGCGCCCTTGGATGTGGCCGATCCTGTGGCAGGTAGGATGGGGTGGGTGGGTGGGAGGGAGGGAGGGAAGGAGGGAAGGAAGGAAAGGGGGGAGGATATTTGGGAGGGAGGGAGGAGGGAAGTAAAGGAGAGAGGGAAAGGAAGGGTTGAAAATGAGAAGGGAAAGGAGAGACAGGGAGAGAGAGAGAGAGAGAGAGAGAGAGAGAGAGAGAGAGAGAGAGAGAGAGAGAGAGAGAGAGAGAGAGAGAGAGAGAGAGAGAGAATGGAAACAGAGAGACAGGCAGAGACAAACCAAAACGACAGACAGAAAGAAAAAAGCAGAACCTAATGCACCAACTGGCTCCCTCACCGCGACCCTGTCTCCCTCGCACAGATGCAGACCATGGCGTCCTATGTGGTGAACAACGCAACGAAAGAGGAAGTTTATGCAATCGGAATGACCAACCCTCTGGTGACCTACCTTAACCTCGCTTGCCTCATGGGTCTGCTGGGCCTCGCTTTCCTGCACAGCTACAGAGGGAGGCGCTGGAAGGGGCACTCAGATCTCGGCGAAGGTGAATTTATCTGCTTAACTGTCTGTCTGTTTATCTATGAGTGTTATTTGTATATGATAGGCTTATAGTATCATCGATCATTATCTACGTCTGCAGTATTAACACCATCGACATCAACACCACCACCACCCTCACCACCTCCTCCTCCACCACCACTCACCACCATCTCCTCCTCCACCACCTCAACCTCCACCACCACTCACCACCACCTCCTCCTCCACTCACCACCCCCACCACCTCCACTGTCATCAACATAATCACCATAACTATCATAATGACCATCATAATCACGATTATCATCATCTGTCATTACCTCATTATCTACCAGAGAGCCGTGCCGACGTCCTCAGTTCGAGCTGGTGGTTAGTGCTGAGCTGGGCATTCCACTACCTGCCCTTTTTCTTCATGAGCCGAGTCCTGTATTATCACCATTACTGCCCCTCGTACATTTTCTCGTGCATGATCACAGGTAGGTCTATGTTACTCTTGATGTGTTGTGGGTTTAATATATGTGTGTATGTGTAGATTGTTTTTTGTTTGAAAGAAATGTGGTAAATATTGGGATATACTGTATAAAGAAATTAAGCAGAGGGGAAAATAGCAATAAATACTGAAAAAAGTTAAATTTTTTAATTT